CATGGGCATGACATAATTCAATGGAAGGGCATACAAGACATAGATAAAAGGAATTTGAAAAAGAATGTTACCAACAGTAAACATAACTTGGGTATTGACAAAGTCATTCCCTTGCATATTGATAGATTCACGTAAACCACCGATGTACGCGTTAGTTAAATTTGTTGAATCCAAATATTTGATCCAATAGGCCATCATTGAGTAGAGAGTTAACAATAAATCAATCTTTAAGATAAGACGACGTTCTTCTGGAGTATCGTCTTCATGAAACCATTTATACCACTTACGCCTTCCTTTGGTTTCCTTAGTGACTCGGTACTCAAATTCATCGAAGAACTTCCACCAAGGACGATTCTTTTCATCTCGATATTCTAAGTTTGTTGATTCCACCACTTCTATGTGAACTTCAATCTTGGATCCCGACTTTTCGAGAGGTTCTGGCAAGTCAACATCACTGGATTCTTCCTGGGTATCAATAAAGTTACCGAACTCATCTTCATCGACAATTCTTCTCTGAGGTAAAAAACCCCATTTCAATCTACCGAAATATGTAGCAACTTTACTCATTTCTTGTTGTTCAGAGGAGTGAAACATATGAAGTTTAGAACAGACATGAGAAATTGATCATTATTTATACTTGTTAAAATGGGATTTATTTAAAGGTTCGATAAGTGCCATACGTACAAGCACCTTCGGATATCAAAGCAAACAAGAAAAAAAATATGAAGCTCACTCGTTGCTTAAATCTCTTGTCGATTAGAAAAGCTATCAAAACTACAAGACCTGCTCCTCTTGAGTTAGTTCAAGCTTTGATATTTTTTGATGCGGAACTGCAATACACTGCAATTCGTAAAAGTAAGGCTTGGCTTTTAGTTCCATAATTCTTGGGTACTATTTCACATATCTTTGGAGCTTTCGTACAATTCGGGATACTGTATTAAATAGGGAGTGAAACCATCTGTTTCAATTTATGCAAGCTGTAGTTGGTATAGAAAGATCTGGGATAAGTTCCCAAAATAACAAAAGAGTAGATCCGACAGATTGATAGTCTCACATATGCTGTTTGCAGGCTTAAAAATGAAAAAATATATTTTCTGAAATAATTTTGCAATTATAAATTCGAACAAATATTATTTTTTTCTTGTTCCAAATCATATCAGGGCAAGAGATCAAATTCAACATATTTCGCTATCTCCGTGATGGAATTAGAGAGTGTACTGGTGACTCTCTTTCATTGGGTTCAAGTTAAAATCATTTAACTATCTATTACTGTAAGTGAGCCTCAATAGAATAAATCTTTGTTCTATGTTACAATAAAGTAATTATGAGATCTAACACCAACGGATTAAAACCGTTGTGAAATTAAACTAAGAAATCTCAAGACTCGTTCGGCCAAGAGAATGTAAGTCCCCGGTGATTCAAGGTCAATCAACAGGAATGCGAGCGCCGAAATTGAATCAGCAGGAATGCAAGCACCGAAATGCAATCAATAGGAATTCGAGTACCGAAATTAGTAATATAATTCTTGGAAGGGATCAGAGATATCAGTATTAACATTGGTATTATCATAGGCGTTATCAGTAGGAGGGACAATACTCAAGTTACCACGTGAGCTGCCTGGTGCATTAGCGTTCGATGGTGGAGGGGGGTAGCTGAAAGATTCAAAAATTATAAGATACTAAACTTGATAGAATAGTTAATTAAACATATGCAAACAGTCTTGGATTAACTAATAACTCTTTTTTGAATGTATAACGTTTGGTAATGGAGGGAGAACATAGGTGCCAATTCAGGCGAAAACAAAAAGTGTAAGGAATTTATGTTTAGAAAGACCATTACCTACACCAGCCTCATGAATTCCGATGCAAATGAATCAGGGTTGCTATGTACTGTCGTTCTTAAATAAATTATATTTCATTTACTTAAAGCAAGAAACGAAAATAATCATATTCCAATTCTTGTATGGGACTTTCTACAAAAATTCTAAATTTATTAAAACCGAATTGGTTTTGATTTTCCTATGACCCTTAGTAATCATTATTATTATCTTTAATAAGCCCTTTGTATGAAAAAAGAAAAAAAGACACTTATTGACTTTGAAGTCATTTTTACGGGACAATGGGGTGTTTACATTGATAATGGATTACAAATGAAGTTATCTGAACATTTAAAGATGATTCTTATACCAAATTCTATGATAATAATATTTAGTTCTTTGTTAAATTTCTCTGGTAATTTGTGACTGCAAAAAAACAAAGGGAAAGATTACATTTATCTCCCAATCTTTAAAAAATTGTTCAAAACACTAAAGGTTAGTCTCTACGTAATTAGGATTCATACAAAACAAAAATGAGGCTATTGGAGAGTATCAAATACCATTTACAAGTATCCCAAATCTCAGAAATAATGTATCTAGATTCGGATCACGGAAAGGGCAAATGTTCCATCACATTCCCTGACGGATATTCACCACAAGAATATGGACTACGAGAAATCTACACCATAGAAGATGTTGATGGTCTACGTCTATTTGAAGTTATAAGGTATCTTGAAGGGTTGCAAATTGGTTATAGCTTAGAATCTTCAGATGCTAAATTGAGAATGTTATTAAAGTCAAAAGTTTCATCAACATTGAATGATGATTAATAGAGATACGTTAAATATATGACATTAGAATATTGATTGATTGTTAGAAAGGAGTAAGGGATTCATTTTGCCTTGGGAGTTGAAAAATAGTTCTTATTTAAATAATTTTATATTTAATTCTTTAACTATGAGAAATCAGATTTACAACCGAGTAAGAAAAAAAATCTGTTAGGCCAAAAATCGCATTGTCAAATTAAAAAAAAAAAGGATCAAGTTAAAAAACAGACAAATAAAATAAAAACAATTAAAAGTTTGTCAATTGTTGATTTGACANGTTGATTTGACATTTGTTAATCAAATATAAATTTCAAAGGCAATAACTTATTGATTGCTCTTCAATTGATTGGTAATAAATTTCGTTTGTCATTAAGTGAATTAATAATTTCAAAGTACACATACGTAAGGTCCAGATAGATTTTCCATAAAAATTATATCACATGTCACATATTAAAAAGAGAATACTACGAACTATACATGGAGTATTTTCTACCTTATATTTACTGTTAATCATTTTAACAATACCATTAGCATTTGATGTTGGAGGAGTCAATTGTGGTTTAGCATTTTCATTAACAACCCTTGTCGCATATTTCTTATTAACAACAATTAGAATTTTAGTTCGGAGAACAAGATATTTTAGATGGATGTCATTAATATATTATAGTCAACATTTCTTTATTCCAAGTTTATTAACCTTCTTTTTAAGTTATTTTGGTCATGAATTACATAAAGATAATCCATCAAATTTAAATCCAATCTTTATTTGGAAATTATTATTAAGAAATTCCACGGCTGTATTCACAATCTTAGAAGGATTTTGTTCATTATTATTAATTCAAGCTATTGGTCAAACGGTAAATTGGTTAACCATTTATAAATCAGATTCTTGGTTAATTGTTTCGTTGATTGGAAGCGCATCGATAATTACAGGGGCATTTTATTTTTTATATCGAATTTATGTATTTCCATTTACAATTGATATTGCAAGTGCTTCATTATTAGGATCCTTATTAACTACAACAATTGGAATAGGATTATTTGGAATTGTAAGTGGGAAAGGTTCAATCATCGAATCATCCTTGTTATTTGCTTATATTGTTAAATGTATTTATGAAACCTTCCCAATATTATCAGAAGATGCTTCAAAGGCTTTGGCAAATTTATTAAGACAAGCTACTATAAATTTACGTAATGAAATTCCGTTAATTCCTCCATCAATTTTAAACCCAATTTCAGAAGTGGTACCTTTCTTAGCGTTTACTTTACCAGGGTCATTTAAAGGTGTATGGGAATTCTTAATTATGGCAAGTCAGAAATTAACTTTACCATTGTTGTTAAATTTTGCTTATAGAATTGGAGTTTTTTATGCTGCCACCAAAATTATACCTTCATTATATCAAGCGGCTACTTTTGGAGCGATCACTCCACCTAAAACACCTATTCCAAGATCGAGACAAACTTCATCTACCTCTTTATCAAGGATGCAGAGTAGTAATAATGGTTCACAAGATATCAATACAACTCCCGAAGAACCAAATCATAAAGGGATTAGATCCAAAAAAACATTTCATCTTAAACCACCTAGTACTCAACCATCATCAACCTTTCTAAGATTAATATATGCCTATTCACCATGTTTGATAATAGCAGTATACACACATTTGATGATGTCATATATAGGAGAGCTAGGGACAGAGCTACAACTTTGGCCCCTTTGGGATAATGGAGACGTGCCAATTGTTGTGCATCCGTGGCAATTTTGGAATTGGATAAATATGGCTACTACGTTGTTACTATATTCCATTGAATTGCTGGGAAATGATAATTTATCTAGAGGGGGGAATAGTTTAACGAGTCATTGGCCAGTGGAGTAATACTGGGTTAGATTTAATTTTTTAGGGCGCTATCATAAATAGATTTAATTTTTAAGATTTGTCTAATGAAATATTATTTAATTTTTCAATAGTAATACCATTCATATTTAAAATATCTGGTCTTTGAAGAAGGAAGATGTTTAGTGAACTATATCTGTGTTGTTTTCAGAAATTATGCAACTCTCTTCAGCTCCAATAAACCTGCCATCTTTCCAGACAGTGAATATCGAAGTTATAAAAAATCAGAGCTTGACTCTATGTTTGCTTGATGTCTCATCATAATAACCACAAAAAAAGCACACTAATCATCCTTCAAGGTATAGAAAGATCCAGATAGTTTAACATAAATAATATTCAACTTCTTTGAAGCTGCAAAACTATAGACTTGGGAAGTCTGGCATATTTGACTATGCGAAATTTACCATAAGATTTCGTATCATCTTTGTAAAAGCAGACTTTTAGGAAGGGGGGACGTCCATAAGTCAAGAATAAGCTCCATTGCGTTAATCAAATTTGACTTTGATCATTTGTTATAACTATCGTTTAGGACACAAAGCCCCATTGCCGACAGAAATCAATATCATTCCGAAGAATAACACCAACATAGCATCCAATCGGGAGTTAAATAAACCCAATTAGGCAAAAATATACAAAATGATCAAGCTGATAAGAAGATTGACATGAGGCGGCCAAATACATGTATCAGATAAACTTAAACTAGGGATTTCTCTGCCTCTATTCTCCTTGATATGAAAATCGATGAGTATCCAATTATGAATGTCAATTACCAGAGCTTTTGCAAGACAAGACTCAAACGAATTAGTAAAAGACAAACAGATACCATCAATCCTCCAAGAAAAGAATTAAGCAAAGAAAACCTTCAAGCATTCAAAGATACCAATAAACACATATAGGACCACCCATAACCATATCAAAACTCTGAAAAACATTTGACCATTTCGTCAATGGAATTGATGATAATCCATTACGTTTCCGCTGTTGTGACAGGAGACTTTCCCCAAAGCATTTGCATTGATATACACAAAAAGTGAATATCCTTTTGTGAGCTTCGATAACAAATCTTTGACTATGGACGTGAAGTGTAAAAAAAGAAAGAGAAAGAATTATCTGAAATGAAAATTTTTTTATGTTCAGGATGAAGGTCTTCTCAAAAAAAAAAAATTATTGGTCGTGTACTATTTACAAATATCAATCATTTACTTAGGGTTATTTTAACGTAAGAATCTTTCAATCCAAGATTCCGGGAATATCCTGGCAATTAAGTCATATCCTCGAGCTCCAGTTCCACAATACACTACTGGCGGGTTTCGCTTTTCATTATATATTAAATCAAATAAAAGATAATGCAATTGTCTTAAGCTCGTACCTCTTCCAGTGGATTTAATTGGATTTGCCTTATATTGAGATTTGGCAAAATCATCAGAATATAACTCTTTCATCTCAGAAGTCCAAGATCTAACTTCAGTATTGACAAGAGTTTCGATTCTTGGAGGAGAATTTAATCTTTGATTTGAGATATGTAAGTTTCCTAATCTTATTTGAGTAACTGATATTCCATGACATGCTAATTCTCTTGTCAAAGTTGTGAATAAGTTTTTCAATTGGTTTTGGAAAATTGTCTCAGGGGCATGATATGGCATGTTTAATGTACTTAAGATATTGGGGTTAATTAAAATTAATTTTGAATTTTGTTTTCTGATTAATTGAATTAAACCCGAGGATAACAATTTAAGATAAGTTAACGATCTATCATTCAATTTTGTCCATGTGCTAATTGCAATATTTTCAATTGGTCCAATCGGGAAGTATAAACTTGGAGCAAATAAGACTCCTACAAGTCTTAAATTGTGTGCTTTGGCTCCTGGGAAAGGTACAACTGGTAGCTTTAACAATTGATTAAATTTGGAAATATGATCTTCCATACACTTTGATTCGTTTAAATTTAAATAATTAATATCATCAGTTATTGGATTTGATTCAATATATTTAAAATCATTTTCATCCAAAATAGTCAAATAGACAATAAACCCTCTCTTTTCAAAATCGAGAGCAATTAATCTAGTTAAGGGTTCCGTAGGAGACCCAATTATTAAAATAACATCTCTTCTTGCTCCATTAGGTAATTTTGGAACTCTTCTCTTCGTCCTCTTTTCCATTGATGCTGACATATTTGCCCTCCGTTTCCAAAGGAAATAAATACCAGTTGCTCCCAACCCAATAGATAAGATTGAAAGATATTTCATTCTATTCTTACTAATATTATCACATACCCTATCATAGGTGGCGGCAGTTGATGATGGAGGTAATGGAGGCGGCAGAGACCATGGATTATTGTTGGTGGCAAGAATTGAGTCATTTGACTTTGTAAATGGATTCAAGTTGGATAATTTTTCATAATAATCAGAATTTATAAACACATCATGTTTATCAGATATGTAATCAGTCGTTTGATTATAGAACCGTCTGAGAGTCTGAACTGTTGCTTGTACAGGTTCTGCTACCATCTTGTTCTTATTGGTTGGTATGGGGATTGGCTTTCCAAGGAATAAATTCTCGAGCGAAATAAAAAATAAAACATGTGAGAGAGTCTAGAACTTCCATTAAAAGTTCTGAGAATAAATTCATTGAAATTAATTAATACTTAAAGAAACATTTGATTTAAAACGAAAGAAATATCTAACTAAAAAGAAAATACAAAAAAGAAGAAGAAATCGTATCTAAACATGATGAGGGTTAATAGTCACCAGCTTAGAAATCATTTGTGGATTACTTGGATTCCCATCATCTAACAAGTCTTCAAGATCAGGTGGTAAAGAATTATCTAAGCCCAGTAAATTAAATTGACCAGGAGGTGTAATTGGAGAATTCTTTTCACTTGAACCACTGAATAACTTACGTGGCGAATTTCCAACTAAAGTATCATGTTCACTTGCTTCACGAGTGAGGAAACTTAAACTTGGAATTTGACTAACTTTTTCAGCATTATGTTGAGTTTGAGCCCATACTGAACTTAATGGTAATGACAAAACTACCAAAAGGAAACTAATTTGAACCAATTCAGAGTCACCACTGTTGTCAACAAAATAATGAATAAACAAAACAATTGAAGGAATGAATAATGTTTGGGTTGACATAATGAATAAAATATGAAACCCATCAAATTGTTTTAATCCTAAGTATCTTCTTGTTTTGATAGCCATTGCTAATTTACAGACCAATAACACTGACATTAAATTAATGTTAATCGAAAATAATAATGTTGGTAAGTCATTCCAAACATTGGCAACTTCAACAGATTCTTGTCTAATGAAAGCAGCAAATCTATTATGAGATAAGACAGTTGCATTTATATTGAATGCAACAACAACAACTGAAAACAAACCAATAAACGTAGTTGCTGCAATTCCCCAAAAGTTTTTCCCTGGTCTTTGAAACATCACATAAACTTGAAAAGTTAAAGACAATTGAATTAAAGCCACCAAAATGACTTTGAAAGAATTGGAAGCATCGGAAATTGCATAAGAACTACCGTCATAAATACCAGTAAAATAAAAGCTTGGAGTAGATAACCCACCCTGTAAATAATTGATATATAAACCAGATCTAATGGTTTGGATTAATAAAATCAGGGCATTAGTATAAAATAAAACTGACCTAAACACTTGAGTCTTCTTACTATTATAAGAAATACCAATCAAAAAGATGAATAAAACCGAACAAGCACCAATTGAAACTGCAGAAACAACTTGTTTTGCTAGTTGGTCGGCTTGATAATCGTCAAGGGCAAAAAATGGAAGACCATAAAGTTCTTCACTCCCTGGAAAGGAAAAACTGAGGATTATATCACCAGCATTTGAAATTAAATCAGATTCCATGTTTGTAGATATTCGATTTTGTATGTAGAGTAATTTGAATTAATTTTTCCAGGATTGCGGTTCTTTTACTAGCTTTTATAAAGTCGGAGTCTCCCCCTGACAAACATGTCATGTTAAATTTTGCATCAAAAAAATTACCCGTTTGGGATATTGCAATGGCTGCAAAAAATCTACTCGGAACTACTTTTTTTCTTCGTCATAATTCGATGTTACTTTTTTTTAATCAACACCTTATGGCTCCAAGTATGCCAATGATATAATCTAATAAAGATCACATTTTAGGGAATTTGCATGACGAATGGTTTTGATATGTTTTCTGGGAATGTTAATTAAAACTGCTAGCCTGAGGTAGTAGTTTGAAATTGCAGTAGAGAAAACTTTGATAAAGATATACATTTGATACTAGTTTTTTTATACAAGTTGGATAGCAGGAGAACACTCCGATTATGAAATCCACTGCAAATATAAGATTTCGCAAGGACAGGTCGTGTGTGATAGAACGTCTTTTTATGTCGAAAAGGAGATGAAAAATCCACTGTGCCGATAGTGCCCCCCCCCCCCCCAAAAAAAAACAA